GCTTCCGCCCGCGCCGCTCCCCCTCCCCCCACCTCCAGCCTCCACCCCGTCCTCGCCGCTCTAGGAAGGCGAGTCTGGCGACCCCCTAGCCGCCGCCCCCCCCCCGGCTCTATGGTGCGGAGCGGGCGCCCCAGGGAGCCACTTCCGGACGCGTCTAGGACACGGGTCCTCCGTCCACGCTCTATGGCACCGCGCGCCGAGGGGCTTCGGGCCCCGCCCCCTTCCAGGACTGGAGGCGCGGGCTCGGCCCGTTAGGCGGAGACTTCCGGGTGTCTAGGGAGGTGCCCCCCCCACCCCAGGCCCCCAAGCCGGGCTCTGGCGCCTGCGCAGTCGGCTCCCCGCGGCCGCCCGGGGCGGGGAGGTGTTGCGGAGAGCGGCGGCTTGGGCTGCTCGTGCCACCCTGGGTCTTCCTGTCATCTCTATCATTGTAACCCCTTCCCTGCCGACGCTGCCCGCAGGGGCCGGAGCCCGCGTGCCCGGAGGGGTCCCACCTCGCCACCCCGATGCTTTCTTTACTGGGCTAAGCGGACAAAGTGTCTTGAGCTTCAGGCGCCTCCCGGTGCCCACGTCCATCGCTTGAGCCTGTTTCCTACTTCGAAAGTAACAGTGGTACGTTGTGTGCCTCCAAGAGCTTTAGACTCATTGTCTTATCGATAAATCTAGTCCCATTTTGCAGATAACGAGGGACAGAGAGGTCAAGGCGCTTGCCGAAAGTCACACACGAGAATGCAGAGCCTAGGCTCGAACCCGTGGAGTCTGGGTCCAAACTCTTGCATTGAACTCTGCCTATGCATACTGCTCCCTATAACAATATTGATCATAACAGCAAAGGGGTCACCTGCTGCCCTCCTGCAAGCAGGAGCTTAGTAAGCACTGCTGAAGGTTAGCTGTTTTTGTTAGAAATAAATACATACTTTTTAAATTATTGTTTACACCACAGTGTCCTTACAGGCTGGGTCCCCATGGTACCTTCCCAGGTCTGTAGTTGGCTCTTCCTCACCTAAGCGACAGTTGATTTATGGTTATTATTTATAGTCGTTTTATTGTCATCACTGAAACAGTCATAAGCTTGAATATCAGAAAGATGTAGGTGTACAATTCGCTGGTTGAATAACACCTTTCGCAGCCTCAGTTTAATAAGATGATCTGGATAAATTCGCTTAATTCAACACCTGGCTTATAGTAAGTGCTCACTGAAAATGGTAGTGATTGCTATAAGTTACTAGTAGTATTGTTTCTACTATGGTGGCTGCTATATGCCCTTAGATCTCAGTCAGCATCGATTATAAGATGTGCATTTTGATTTAATAACATCCTTTTGGGAGAAAAAGTTCTGTACTAAATGCACATTGTGGAGGGAGGGTATAGCTCAGTGGAAGAATGCAGGTGAGGTCCTGGGTTCAATCCCCAGTACCTCCATTAAATATAAATAAATAAACCTAATTACCCCCCAGAAAAAAATAAAAACAAAAAAAGTTTTAAAGAAATTACATGTCTAATTTCTACATCCATGTTTACAGCAGCATTAGTCACAAAAGATGGAGACAACCAAAGTGTCCATTGATGAGTGAATAAACAAAACGTGATATATGTATATACAATGAAATATTATTCAGCTTAAAAAAGGAAGAAAATTCTGACACACGCTATGTCATGGATGAACCGTGAGGATACTATGCGAAGTGAAGTAAGCCAGTCACAGAAAGGCAAATACTGCATGACTCCACATATACGAGGGTCTTAGAGTAGTCAGGTTCACAGAGACAGAAAGTAGAATGGAGACTTGCAGGGACTGGGGAGGGGCAGTTAATGTTTAATAGGGACAGAGTTTCAGGTTTGCAAGATGAAAAGACTTCAGGACATGGATGGCGGCGATGGTTGCACAACAGTGTGAGTATACTTAATGCCCTTGAACTGCACACTTTAAGTGTTCAGTTGGTAAATTTTATGTTATGTGTATTTATCACAATTAAAAGTTTTCAAAGAAACAAATTTCTAATGTGATGTACCATTATAATGCATGTCGTTATGGTCTGACTGTGTGTCCCCACAAAAATCATATGTTGAAATCTAGCCCCTAAGTTGATGGTATTAGAAGATGGGGGTTTGGGGGAGATGATTAGGTCAAGAGGGGAGCAACCACATGACTTGTATTAGTGCCCTTATAAGAGAGTCCCACAGAGCCCCCACAATCCCTTCCACCACAGAGGACACAGCCAGAAGCCGGCTACCTACAGCCCTGAAGAGGGTCTTCACCAGGGCACACCCTGGCACCTTGATCTTGGACTTCCCAGCCTCCAAAACCATGGGGAATAAACTTCTATTGTTCACAAGCCACTGGGTCCGTGGTGTTTCGTCTTAGCAGCCTGAATGGACTAAGACATGGGGGCTTCTTTGTTACAGAAGCTTCCCCGACCCTTAGTAACGCAGGGTTTCAGGCGCTAGACGTAAAACAGTGACAGTGCCCTGCTTCGGGAATCCCACCTCTAGGTGGGAGTGGGGGTCCTGTGGGAGGAGGGCATAGCCCAGGGATAGAGTGTGTGCTTAGCATGCATGAGGTCCTAGGTTCCATCCCCAGTGGCTCAAATAAATAAGCCTAATCACCTCCCCTCTCCCAAAAATGAGAAACAATATTATTAAAAAATCATGGGACCAAATAAGATCATGCAGGCTGGGAAGGGAACCCAGTATGAGCCTCAAGAAAACAAACCAACAGTCAGGAGGGTATAGCTCAAGAGGTAGAGCACATGCTTAGCGTGCATGAGGTCTTGGGTTCAACCCCCAGTACCTCCATTAAAAACTAAAGAAATAAATAAATCTAATTACCCCCTCCCCCAAAAAAAACCCTAAATAAATAAAAAGGTCACTCTTCAAAAAAATAAAAATAAAAAAAGGAAACACTGGTCACGTGTGACCCAGGCTGAGTCTATTAACAGCCCTCTCTGGGTTTGAGGAAAGCTTTAGTCCACCTCTGGGATATGAGAGACTTGAGCGCTGATGGCAGCCTTGTTTCTCACCTTGTGGGAGAAAGCCAGGCTGCAGGAGGAGAAACCGAAACTGCTCAGCGAAGCAAGGGGGGAGAACGACCCGGCTAAGCTCAGATGCCCCCGCTGCCCCTGCCCTCCTGAGCTTTGGTTACTCAGCGCTCCCTTCTGCTCAGTGAGTCTCTCCAGACTCCTCCCAGGAAATCCCCACGGTGGCCTCGGCAAATTCCACGTGGGTTTCTGTCCCTGTAACCCAAAGACCCCAGAGTCCCCTGGAGCACTCCGCGCCCCCCCCAAGCCTAGGTCAGCGTTGAACTGAATGAGTGAAGACGGATTGGACGAAGGGATACCTAAGCTTCCAGGGGTTCCAGGTGCTCAGAGGGAGATTCTGGGGTGCAGGGCCCCGATGAACAGCTCCTTTTAAAAATCCCCCCCTATGTCCCCCTGGTGATGTCTCCTCCTCCGAGTGATGGGAACAGCTGCCCTGGGCAGCCTGGAGATGGGGAGTTTGCAGCTGGTGAAGAACAGCTGCTGTGAAGTCCCCTGAGATGTACAAAGACCACACACACACACACACACACACACACACACACAAATTACACTGTTCAAATTACCACTATTTTTTTATTAGTAATATATTTTAATGATTACTTTCAAGGGGACTCTTGAAAAACACTAGTGAAAGAAACAGACTGGGGCGTGGAGATCATACATGGTTTTGGTCATGTTAATTTTGAGGTGCCCATTAGGTGATCCAAGGGAAGACACTAGGTAGGAAGTGACACACCTAAACAGGGAGGTCGGTGGCGTGGTCCAGGCTGAAGATATACATTTGCTGAAATAAGACACAGTTGACCACAGAGGCTGACGTCTCTTCAGCTGAACATAAGCAGCTA